GGCTTCGCAAGATGGGCAGGATTATAGGATTATTATTTATTGATGTCCTGCCCTTGGCATGTAATATACTGAGACTCCAGAATAATCATTAAGTACTAATCTCTTCATTGAATAATTCATCGACTGTATTATATTATGATATAATAGGAAATATCGGGTTCATTTTTGGTTCAATACGATATATTGGTCTAGTAGGTATGTTTCCAAAATCATATCAGGATAATAACATCATAATACCAAGATTCCATAAGTGGTAATAGCAAAATGGAATTCCGATTCTCATGAATAATAATCACTGACTTTTGTGAACATATTCATCAAGGTGTTTCAAGATCCAACATGGAAATAGATATCTTTACCTATTCTTGAATAATTTATTAGGAATGGTAATTATTTCCTTGTTGATGGTTTTCAAATCGGATGGAGATGAATTCATTTTGCAGTTCTCACATTATTCTCATCAGATTATTTCTACAGGGTGTTTCTCAATGATATGCTGTTATACAATATACACACAATTTCAATACGAGACAAAAAAATAACTTTCGAATACCCTTTGCCAGATTGAATATTACCAGTTCATCGCCAAACTTTATTGGGCCAAGGTTATACAACAAATTACCTGAATGCAATCAGAAATTGTGAAAAGGAAATAGATTTCATCAGAGTTTTTGTGTACGTAATAATATTCCTATACTTGTTATATACACTCAATACCAGCCAGGCAAATCAGAAACGAACGAGGGATAAATGTTGACAACATAAATATGGACTTGGCAACAATTCTCGAATGGGGATCCAATAACTAGGTAGATTTCAATGCAAACAAAACACAAGCATGCCTTTTCTCTAGAAAAGCCGATCTCACTGTGCCCAACATGAGCTTGTCAGGAGTAACCATACCTTTGAAGACATCCATTTCGATGCTTGGTATTACTATCAGCAATAACCTTTCTTGGGAAAATCACGTGAGATCAATTGCTAAAAGTACATCCCAAAAACTTGGTTTTCTGTTTCGAGCCAGGAGCTATTTCACTTCCAGTCATTGCTTACGATCTATAAGGCACAAATTCGACCTGTCCTGGAATACTGTTTCCATATTTGGAGTGCAGCACCCAAACATACCCTGAAACTGTTAGATTCTGTCCAAAAAAGGGCAATTCGTCTCGTGGGTGATGCCTCGCTCACAAACACACTCACTTCTCTGGAACACCGTAGAAAAGTTGGCGATCTGGCTCTATTTTATAAATATTTTCATGGACGATGCTCTTCTGAAATATCAAAAATTGTTCCTCCCTTGGCAGTCCCCGCGAGATTAACCCGTTGAGTTGAGGCTTCGCACCCCTTCGCGGTCACTTTGGAGACCTGCAAAACATCTCTTTCCAAAGACTCGTTCATCCAACGAATAGCGAGGCTCTGGAACACATTGCCAAGAGAGGTGTTCCCCAAAGCATATAACCTCCAGAAATTCAAGAAGAACACCAATTCCTTCCTTATTTTCCTCAGTTCTCACGATGTTCTCTGAACAGAACCAGAACATAAATAAAAAGTATCAAGTGGAACCTCCTGTATTCAGATAACGTGAGCGTGTGCTATGTTATAGTAAACTAATTCCTAGTTGATCGTTTATTCAATGTATACAGGCGTTAAGAATCACTTAAATCCACTTATCAGATTGGATGGAATTGCAGGGCAATTTTCAGCGAATAAGCTGTAAAATCATTCCCCTGTCTATTATGTGAATCTCTATCAGCAGAAGACCATAAAACTGAGCGGTATATTGGTTAATTTCTATTATTATTACTTTGAATTATTACTATACTATCAATAGCATTGCGTAGTGTTATCCTGAAGAGCGGAGGTCTGACTCAGACCGGTAGTTTCAAGTACAGTTTGGCTTCAAGAAAATATTTTATAATTCGAGTTACCTACAGGGCGTGTCGGTTGTATTTCGTTTGCTCTGTCTAGATTGGAATTTCCGTAAAATTCAGTGCGAAAGCTATGATCGGAATGGCTTATCAACGTTTTGCAAATATTTTCTTCACAATTTTGTTAATTCGCATGAATATGTTTCCTGTTATTGAAGAACAAAAATGATGTCAAGTAAAGTTAGATTCTTACATTTCTCAGATATTTGAGATTTTTTGTGTCAGTAATAAAAACGTCCATCATTTCGACACATTCTTCAATAGAAATGCTAAGATGACTTCTCTAATAAGATGTCTAACATACAAATTTCCAGTTAAAATTGGAAATTTCAATGTTGTGCCTGTCATATATATCGTATGACTATCTATACCTATCTAATATTTCTCATATTCGAAATCCATTACACTTATCAATCTACAAAAAAAATCATTTCCTGTGTTATAACAAGCACCTCAGACGTCAAGACAGCAACATACGTATAATTACTGTGAAGAAGTGATGAGAAAAAGTTGGACATCTGCCTAGCAAAGTCACGGGCCACTTAATATGACCGTTATAGTATGGTTAAACGTTAAACGAGAGCAGACCTTCAAGCAGGGAACAATGACTGATGCAGAGCTGATGATTTCGAACAGGGGTGGCTATTTCATGGGATTAGGGCATTGACCCATCCGGACCAACACAAAGTGTTCCTGGAATTGGTCATCATGCAAAACATATTTTCAAAACTCTAGCACTTGGTGATCAGTTGCAAATATCAAAAACTCGTCAAATGCTGATGCATTATCATGTGCCTGCTAAAAAAACTTCAACTGCTCACATCATGCACATCAAAATTTAGAGGGTGCGATCTAAGGGTGCCAGTGATTTATCGAAAGGCACTTCATAACAAAACCAACAAATATTGAACGAATGACTAGGGTTTGAGAACTGATGGCAAAGAATCCATTGCCTAAAAACTGCTCAATAATACATTTTATTCATTTCATTTGAAATAATTGGGTAGATATTGCACATGTACATACCTGAGGATATTCTCCAATCTAAAGCTAATAACTATTTTCAAATCAATGCTATTGATTTTACTTCAGACCAGCAATCAAATTGTGAAAGTGTTACGATCCATAAGGAAGCTACCGATCATAATAACATTGTTGTAACAAACAAGAAACATCGCATTTCATAAAACAAATAAGAAAATATAATAGTGATCAGAACTATTTAACATCATTAGATTTTAGTACTCTGAATTCCTCCCAAGGCTGTGATAATGCTTCCACAATTCATTGGTATACACTGAAACAGATGAGGGCCCAATCACTGACCCGTGAGGAACCTTGAACTCAGTGTCAATAATTTTATGAATTTTTAGTTGAGACATATTTCTAGCGATCTCGAACAGGACTTGCGTGGGCAGCCACATAGATAATATACAATGAGACACGGTTAATAATGATATTATCAAAGAATTTTAATCGGAACGATTCAAATACGAGTTATGGCTGGTTGATATTGCTTGCGTGTTCTTACCGGTTCAACCAAGGAGTCTACGATCCTTTCAGGAAGGTAAATCATTTGATTCATGATTATCTGCAATAAGGAAGGATATGCATGGTTGGGATGATGTACAGTTGATGGTGTCGAACCTAATGCCATATTTTTGGATTATTGTGATTATTTTCAGTGAGAGCTAGGACTTTCATCTGAAAATATTCTCGGAAAATATTTGAATGGTAATGGCGAATAAAAACTGTTTCTATTATTCGAAATTTGGTTGCTATAATTCTGATAATACATAAATATATCGAGTGAATATCAGAGTAGGTACCTACATATTTTTCAGATTCTTCCAAAGAAATTTTTAATTCTCAATGTCTTGTTCGTACCAAGAAGTTGTATATCAAAGTTATTATTTCATCCTCGTTGAAAATTAATTTAAGCATCGATGAAGAAAATCTTTCACGTCATCTGGTTTATATGAAGGAGATGGATGATGTAATCATATCCATTCAAATTGCATTACAGTTTAAATACGCTGAACACGTCTCTGCAATTGCAATGAATGTAACAAGATCAATCAATCATGATTTTCGATTGGTTTTCACGTTCTAGATTTCCATGACAGGATCTTCCATCTTCAATTAATGTACGTAGGAAGGTATATTGATTCGATATGTTTTATGAATAATTAATCAAAAGTAGGTAGGTGTGATCAACACTGTTATCAATTATTCATTTTCTGAATTTATTTATAGTCTGGATTGATAAACCGAGGATAAACTTCATGATTTCTATTATAGCATAGCAAAAGTTCCTAGAATCAGCAAATTGTTCATATTACTTGTTTGTTTGAACTTATTTCTACCTACTTTTTCTTTGGGGGTGTTCCTCAGGGAAGTGATCTTGGGCCCTCTTCTAATTTTATGCACATGCTTCATAAACATGCGTATCATATAACCTTATATTGTATGAAGTGAGAATTTTCCCAAATCACATCTTTGAAATTTGTGGTACTTTTTTTATTTTTATCATTGTGTGAATATACAAAGTATTTCATTACAGAACGAAGATACTGCAGCAGTAAAAATAGGTTACCAAGGTAATATACTAGGAATTCTATTCCAACAGTTTTTATTACCCACATAAAGGTTATTCTATCGATTCTGTATAAATATCTTCAGAGAGACATAACTAACTCAAAATCACCTATTGAATTTTTGATATCTTGATTGATTGATTGATTGATCGATCGATATACTAATTATTTCCCATCTACTTCCCGAATGACTGAAATATCAGCACTGGAAACGATCCAGCTTTGGATTTGAAGGAATACAATGAATTGTTTTGTTATCAAAACCACACGCTGTGTAACCAAATTTTCGAAATTCACTTTCAAATTTCTCGTCAAATTTGAAAAGTGCACTAAAAGTAAAATCAGTTTATTATTTATATGGACCCAGATTTGGACTTTGTGGTGACATCGAGGGTGACATATACCTACTGCTGACGTATGTTTTTTTTTTTCAAAAAATCACCCTGTATATTTTATTCGAACATCGTCAACTCACCTTTTGTCAAAACAACAAGCCAAATTAATCCAAAAATTCCGCAAGATTCACTGAATTTTTCAACAAATTTTCATTGTTCGTTTTTTTACTATTTTCGAATTTTCAAAAATTCACGTGATCTCACTGTATATCATTATTCGCGCATGATCCTAACGCGCCGCCTAAGCTCAAAAGGTATACTGCTCGCATTTCGTGCTTCAAGCACTCGTACTTCGTACCTGCAAGATGCATTCGAGCGACGTTGTCAAGCCATAAAAATAGCGCTAGTTATCGGAAACTTTTTTTTATTAATTCGTTCATTCATTCATTCATTCGAAAACCCCCAGAAACCAATTTTGGAAAGGATCGGATCATAATCACAAAATTCGTGTGCCATATTGGATCCGCCATGTTGAGTTTCCCAACTTTGAGGATGAAATCATAATCGTCGACTCCGAAAACACCGAGATTCCAATTTGGAATATAATCAGATCATAAATTAAAAAAAGCTGGTCCTCCATATTGAATCCGCCATTTTGAATTCCCGAATTTTAACCGGACCATAATTACAAAACGCGTCCGCCATATTGGATCTGCCATCTAGAATTTGCATATTTTGATGAAAGACTCATAATCTCCGACCCCGAAATACCCCAGATATCAATTTTGAATAAAATCGGAGAACAAAACTCGTCCGCCATATCGGATGCGCCATCTTGAATTTTCAATTTGAAAAATAGCTCACTTACAACCGATTCTTATACCCATATCGAATACACACAAATAATTTCATACTTATCGGTCATCGAATACACACAAATATTTTCATACTTATCGGTCAAGCTGTTTCGGAGGAGTTTGGCAACAAACACCGTGACAGGGACAGGAGAATTTTATATATTAGATTTCAACAAGTCATTGAAGAGATTAAATAATTGGGCTTCTTCATTTCAACTACCCAGATAACACAGGATATCCTATGGATATCCTTCTCAAGTCCATTTCAGGTCGGGATATCCTGGGACATGAAATGGATATCCATAGGATATCCGTCAGAGGATATCAAATGGATATTCTGATGCGGATCATCTATGGACGTCCATAAGATGTTCGTTTAGCGAACAAAAATTGTTAATTGAGAATGGTTCAAAACAATACGAATCATCACAAATATCACATGCAAATCACATGTTTATTAGAAATTCAAAGGTAGTTTTCCATCATATAACTATTGTTATGTAGGTATAATATGTTTATAGCCACAATTAAGATATCCGATGCAAATATGAATTCATATAAATAACAACACCACAGTTTGGAATTTTTCTCTGTTGTTCAATGTTTTCGTACAAAAATATACAATCACTCGAAAATAGCTCTCATATATATTTACTTTTTTGTGGTCTTCAGATGGACATCCATGAGATATTCATCCATGGATTTATAGCGGATATCCATCAGAAGATATCTTACCCAGATAGCACAAGACGTCTTTAAGATGTCTGAATTATATCCTATCTTAGTCTGTACGTCTTACTCCCTGAATAAGACGTCTACAAGATGTCATCATTCAGACGTTTTAAAGATATGTGATTCTCACGTCCTGAATACGTCTTAAAGACATCGTAATAATACAAATAAGCAATAATGATATTTGGTATATTATAATAAGTATTAATCATAATGACTTTTAGTGTGTCATATCTGAACGTTCTCCACTCTCAGAATTCCTGAATTCCACACCTAGTTATGGTTCTATTCTCATAATATGCGTTAAACTTTTAATAAGAAATATAGGTATGATCATATTGATTCAGGCTAATAGAATATTTTCAATTTCATAATTTTTATAACTTCATCGTAATACATATAGAGGTTATATAGATTGTTCAGAGTAAGTTATTTTATAAATAGGGTGGGATGATTTGAAAATACCGCCATGTCAAACGAAAGAGAGATCGTAGCGCCATTGTTTGTTGTTTGGTTTTGGGTGATGGTGTTTATTGAGAGGTGTGTTTATGTTAATTTCGTTTTGAGTTCTCAATCATTCTCAGCTTTGATATTTGTGTATTTTTTAAATCCGTGTTTTCCAGTGGTTCATTGTGTTTTGATTGAGGACAATAATATCTCTGATGTTTAACAGTAGAACACCTACCTACCTCTAGTTGGAATGTTGAACCTAAAACCTATACCAACATAAGCTGTAAGTTTTTATCATTATTGAACAAGAATTCTTATGATTTGGCCATTTAGCCTGTGCATTTCAATCTGTCTATCCTTTTTCAGTGATTCAGTGTCTCCAAAATGAAGCTGAGCTCATAAATGCGGGCCACCTGGTTTTGGCTGGTCAAATGGATGCAAATGATTGCATTGAAGTATAATAAGTATTATGTCTCATTATGTTTACAGTCCACTGTGTGTGCCAGGTAAGAAGAACTCTCCCTAATAATGATATTGGTAAACTCCTGAAACTCAACTCTATATATATCATTGTTTTCAGGAAGAATGTGGGATCTTCCAGAGATATATAAATATGCTTGGTTGACACAAAAAGCAATCAACAGAGGGACTAATACAATCAGTATTCCTATAGATGAGATGCCCTGTTTTAAGAAAAAAATGAAGAGACCAGTTATATGAAACATAATGAATATTCTCAATTTTCCTATCACAAACAGGGTGGACGAGCAACTTCTTTTCTGGAAATGTCAAACCTGTCCTTGGTAGTTGTACTTTTCAAATAAATGTCACAAAGATCAACTATTTATTTGTGTTGTATGTACCTACATGTTTGCTTCATAACTGGCACTTTAACCGAGGATGGCATTTTCAAACGGGACACCCTGTATTTTATTCCATAATCAGTTAAGGATTATCATAACGAATTCAACGATACTGTGTTTGATAGGATTTCTACAAACGATTAGGAAAATATTCACATTTCCATATCCTCAATGAGCATATAAAAACTTCCAATGCAAATATCTTCGTAATCGTTTGAAATAACCCTATCCAATCCGGTACCGTTGAATTCGTTATAATAGTTCCTAATTCATTATGGAATAATATACATGGTGTTCTATATTGTTAAGGATATTTAGTAAATATCCCTGAAAAATATCTCATGGATATTTGTGAACAATATCTTATGGATATCCCTGAAAAATGTCTTATGGATATTTGTGAACAATATCTTATGGATATCCCTGAAAAATGTCTTATGGATGTCCCTGAAGGATATCCTATAGAAGTCCAACTCCTTCCACTCGGCACGTCCATTGGACGTCCATAAGATATACATCGGATATCACTGGATATTCTCTGGATATCCCAAATATCCTAAATGGACGTCCAATGGATGTCCATCGAATGTCCGTGTGTTGACTGGGTACCTACCTATCAGTTGAATACCTATCTCTCAAAATTGTTCAATCAGAATGAATGAAACACAATATATGTATTGTGTTTCATCACTAAAATAATCATTTTGTCATATTAAATGTTCCAAACAATGTGCAGGATATTATGGTATTGAAATGTGGCAACGCAGCAGACAAGTCGTCTCTATTCTAATGAATGCGTAAGGATGTATATGAAATACAAAAGGGTCTGCCTTTTGTGAATATCTCAACGATACACTAACCACATTGCTCACTCTATTTTCCATAAATAGCTAAGTAGGTAGACGAAGTAGCTAGTATTGAAAAACATCGGACAGGTACAGCTTTGATATAAAATATCGCGATAGGCGAGTAGATGATCCCACCCTGTATAAGACATGACCTAATCCTGACAAGATTTTCAAAATCAATGTCAGAAACCGTCAGTAGTATGTTTTTGTATTTTGTGTGGATGAATTTTTTGTTCAAGTGAAATTTACTACTCAATGAAACCATTTTCTAAAACCAATCTGCACACCAGTTTCAAAATTCACAGAATGCTCGTACACTGGAAATCGCTGTTAGGATTCGGGTTCGCTTTTTGGATTCTGTTATGCCTTAATGACTTCTTAGGTGGTAAGAATCATGGATACTATATGGAATGTAAGTCTTCACAATTTCAAAGATACGTCCTCCTATACTCACAATTTTTCCCAGATGAAACTGATTCAGACAATGACATCACTAAGGATTCTGACTGGAGAGCTATCGTTTCGAAATTTGGCATATCGATGTTGATATGGAATACAATTACATTCATTTTCTCACTCATATTCTGCTACCTCATCACAACATTAGGCCGGTTCATCTGGAGAATTTCATGGTCATCCAGGTTAAACAACTTTTGGCTCAATATAATCCTCTCATACTCTAAGACCTCTCACTTTTCAGAATCCCTTCGGAAAATGCGATAAATCAACTACTAAGCACTCCTATAATTTCCGAACAACCAAGCACCAGCCTCAGCAAGATACCCGTAATTATAAAGCCATTGCCAACAAACTCCAGGTCCTCTGATACTGACCTCAAGATGAAACCAAAAGTCCACTCCGATGCAAGCTGTCCCAATCTACTTCCGAAAAGAACACCCAGTAACATGTCCCATTGTACGTCAATGTCACTGCCTCAATGCCATACCTTATTCAAAAATAACAAGCTATTTTCTCCTACTGCCGAGGAGAATGATAAGCTTGATAGGCACCTAGAGATACAATGTACAAAACTAAGAAGTGAAATGGTGAAGCTTCAAGCTTCCTTCTTGAAAGAGCGTTCCATCATATCCAGGAAGCTGGAAACTGCTGGCAGAGAGAAGAAGGAATTGTCCAAGCAGCTGACTGTAGCTCAGAAGGAAAATAGAGCTGCAAAGCAACAAATGGAAGAGCTTCTACAGGAAAAGGTAGCGAACCTATTGTAGGCGACACTTTGCTAGGAGTACCAATCACTTATTTATTTTCAGGGTGTTTTGATCAAGAAATTGGAGAATGCGACCAAAGAATTCAAGTCCAACATCAAAACGAAGAAGTATGCTCTAGCCAAGCTGGAAGAAGTAACCACGAACGTTGATAATCTGAAGCAGCAACTACAGCAAGTGAGCAGAGACAAGGAGATTTTGGAAAACAAGTTGAAAGTACTTGAAAGCGAATACGAAAAGCTGCAAGAGAGGTTCATCTTGTCGAATCAAACCAATTTTTCTGGTAGTCAAGAGCATGCAGCAGAAAGAGATATGAGTGCAACAAAAGATAGAAACACAGCTGGAAATTCGGAAACATTTAACGGTGCCGGAGGAAATACTGCCAGCACTAAGGTACCTAACGCTTATATTGGCAAGTTATATTCATTCATGTCAACTATATTTCTTTTTCAGGATTCTTCCTTGGTTTCCCAAGCAGATCTCGACATGAAGAAAATCCAAGTCAAGATCCAGCAACTAGAGAAGAATTTGGAAAACTTCAACAAGGCAGACCCGAACAATCAAAACGGTGCACAAACAGAAGTAAGTATCGAATCCAACATTTTAACACCAGACACTGAAACTACCCTTTTAAATCTCAGTCTGAAATCAGTTTATTGACCAACAACTCTGATACGATGAGAAGAACTGAAGATGATACGGATTATTCTGAGTACTATTTCCCCAGTCCAAGGATCAGATTCTGGGGTGGTAGAGCTGGAGATGTGGTAAGACCCGAAAAAAAACTATCGATAGCAAACTTTTCTCATCACAACAAATCGATGTTTCAGATCCAAACTTTAGCGAGAGGAATGAATGAAAAAGTCCGTTTTCTGGATAATATCAAAGAAAGATGCGAGACGGAGATAGATGAGTATTCCTCTCAAGAGTCTCTAGATGACATCAGATGTCCCACTAGGATGGTCAGTAGTTCAGTGGCTTTCCAGAATTTCCTCAAATGTTTGCAGCCTTCTGATGTGAGAAGACAATTCGGATCTCAAACTAGTTTGAATATTCAGATGTGATTGTCTAAATTAAATCGTACGTCCACATATGCAGAATTTTAATTTATCACTTCACAAAACTGAGAATCAAAATAAAGAGGTATTTTTTTCTGCCTTATCATGCTCTTGAACTTGTCGCATTCACTTCTCCAACAGGAAATTTTATCCCTGAAAGTTTTCTTCCTTTTAATACATTTACAAAGCTTCACTAAATCTTCTGTTACTGCCTCTGCCTGTTTTTTCTCGAAAGTTCTTGTAGTTTCGACATCTGCCGTTACGAAAGCATCATTTTTCTTGATAACATCCTGTATAGCTTCTTCGGAAGCATTCGTTTTATTCTTCTCAGTGAACTGAAGAGATAAATTCGTCAAAAAAGTCTTTGTAGTTTCAATATCAAACATTTTCTTCAATGCCCTGTTTGTTGAATAACATTCTTGCTTGTTCTTATTTTTCTTATATTTCGATAAGCACATGTCTTCTCCTAGAAGAGCAGTATTCTTGAATCTTGCTGCTAGACTATCGAAAATTTTCTTCCTAAACTCAATCGTAGTGAGTTCAGGATTCCTTATGTCTGGTTTCTCTACTATAGTACTATCAGCATCAACTACAGCTTGAAGCCTCCTTGTTTGGACCATATCATTGCTCCAAAACTGCTGCCCAGATAAAGTTTCATTCACTACAAACAATTTTTTGTACACATTATTCTTAGTGTGATTACACCCCACTCTATTCAAAGGGCCTTTCAAAAAACATTTACTCCTTCCAGATTTTCCTCCGAAGTCGACATAGAATTGTTTGTCATAGCTATCTTTGGCATGTAAGAATGGTGCTGTGTAGTCCAAATTCTTTGACCGAAATGGGCTGATATCAAATGAACAGCTGTATCCTGAATCACACTCTTTACATATTTTCTCAAAAGTGACAGTGTCTTTATTGACTTTAGTGATATTATCATCTTCAATCTTGAGCTTGATCTCATCTTCAACATTTCTCTCTAGGACAACATCTCTGAAACGAAGCTCTAAATTGTCGTGAGAATCATAGCTGACAGTGACATAATCGGGATGTTGGTAAGAGAAATCCAAAGAAACGAAGACATATCCATCAACCAAATCTTTAGATACTTGTATTGCGCTGGATATTTCAGTTCCATCCCCAAATCTAACCACCTGACTTCCATTTTTATCAAACAGGCACTGAAAGCCATCGCCTCTCTCGAAGTAAATTTCTTCGGCCAAGAAATCTTGTTCAGTTGTAGTGTGATAGACTCTCTTTTGCGTGATCTTGTTGTTTTCTAGAGTTGTTCTATGGCCATCAAAGTTGAGAAGAACAGTCTTCAAGTAAGGTACCTTATTGCTTTTTAAGATACCGGCGATATCTTTGTTTATGACGTACCCTTTCTTGGTTCTGAAGAGATCTCTTCTACTGATATAGCAATCATCGTTCGCACTTTCATCTTTCATCATTTTGTTGAGTTTTTTCCTGTAGTCATCCAAGTTTTTGCAATGGCAAGTTTTCAGATTCGATTCTCTTATTATTGTATTTTGACTGTCTGGTTTCTCGAAGGATATGGTATCTCCGTTTGATTTCATCAAGGTTATGGTTCCATCTATTTTTTTGACCAAGATGTAGCCATCCCTAGTGAACAATCTGAATTCTTCGGTTCTTTCTTCTTCCGTCACAAATTCTTGTTTGATTTCCACCAAATTGTCTCTTATATTTGAAGAGTAACAAGTAATGTATAAGCCATTTGGTAAACAAACACGAAAATCAAGTGTGCTCTTCACAGAAGATCCGATATTATTAGTTGAGTGAATGAATTTCTTTGTATAAGATGCAAGAGGCACTTCTTTCTTAGTATTGTGCAATAGCCTCCTTATGATATTCGTCAATGGTATTTCAGTTTTGTTTTCATGTTTCATCAAGTAGGTCAAGTTGTCACTTATTTTATATACTGGACACTCTTCTACAATTGCCTGCTTCAAGCTCTTGTAAATGTTTGTGATGTCTTCATCTAAAGTAACGTCTATCTGTGAATTTTCCGCTTTTTCTAGTTCATCTTCAAATTCAGCTTTACTGAGATTGATCACTTTTTGATTTATTGCATGTTGCAAGAATGTTTGTTCTTCATCAGTCTCACCAGTAAGTTCGTCTACAGTGAGGTCAATGGCACTTGATGTTAATGAATTTCTTCTAGTTTTACGCTGTTGGTTTTGTAGAATGAAGGAAACAACTGTTCCATCTTCCAGATTCCAATGGAAAGTATAGTCGTTCCCTAAGAACGCTTTATTCGAATGGAGAATCAGACTATGTCCTTTGGAAGTCAGGCAGACTGTGCATTTTGGTTCCTCATATATCATTCTAGTGTTATCCACTCTGATTTTGACATCATCATGACTAGAAAAAATAGTTTCTGTGCCCCGTATTGCTAAGTACTGTGTCCCAAAGTCATAAGCCAAAAAATTTTCGGAAACATCGCTACCACACTCTTCAATCAACGTACTATTGCGAGGGTAATTTTGAATTTCTGTTAACATTTCCTCAAATGTCACAGTATTTTCTTCTTCATCTATTTGGATATCTTCTGTGTCCCCATCTGGCTTTGCTTTGGGATCCAATAAGTGTCTGTACTCTTGAAATAGATCGCTTTTCTTTACATTCTTTGCACCTCTGCATTCTTCCATATCTTCACTCTTCCTCACATACTTTGCTGGTTTGTTTTTTTCCAACCACTTTGATTCCTCAACGGTTATGTATTTGCAGAAATCTCTAAGGCAAACTGGTGTCCTTAATGTGACGTCATACGTTTTGGTATTGATACCGAATTCATCTAAATGGTCTGAAAATTGTACCAGAAGGTTCTCAGTTTCTGGCGAATATTGCATATCCATATACTGATACATTCGTTGATTGTTGAAGATTTCTTGGATCATCACTTGTGAGTGTAGCTCTTCTTTCCAAATGAATGCCATTGGACTAGGATCGTATAAATTCAAGTTTGATATTTCGCAGTCTGATTGATCATTTTCGTATTGTGGTTGTGAAGAACTGCGAAATTGAGATCTACTGTAGGTTTGAAGGTTTTCTGTCAAATCGGTGTCTTCGAAATCTTCAATAACTTCATCGTACTTGAAAGTACTGAATAGAAACAGATACAAAAAGTGCAGCTGTGATTTCGTGAATTTTATATTGAGCTTATTAGATGGATCGATATCATGCTTATGGATGAAGTCGTCAGAAGGAACCTTGATATTTTTCAACAAGTTGAATGGATTCATTAGTCTGACGATATCGTTGAAGCTATCCACGAATTTCGAGCCAAAGCTTCTGTAGGTTTTCAATATGACAGTGAGTAAATCAGATTCATGCACCATGAAGGTATTTTTGGGCTTGTCGAACGATTTTGTTGCTGCATTCTTCACTTGGAATATTTCTTCGATATCAAAAGGGTTCTTACAACAATCAATATGTGTAAGGCTGGCAGTCTGTGAGGAAATTGTGTCCCATAGATCTTCCACTTCAACTCTGTCAATACGTTTCATTCTATCGGAAGTTTCATTCAGCAAATTGATCAAAACAGTTGCTTCGCTTGTTAGTTCTAATGGTATTTTGGATGAAGTGAGGTTATAGGTAAGTAGACACTCTAAAGGTAAAATCTTGTAGTTTGCTTCCACTTGATGGATCTTTATATGTCTTATGTAGTCTAAGTGCCTTAGTTTTATATCAGAGATGTTTTTTATGACATACAATAGCTCCTCGAAGGTATTTTTATAATTGTTTTGAGTAGCTGTGAATTTCATGAGGATGGTATTTTCAAAATTAATCGAGCGATGTGGTCCATCAAAATAGTCTCCAATGAGGTCCCAAAATACCTTGTGATTCGGTGAAAAATCGGATTTCTTGGATATGTTATCACTCACATTGAAAGTCATTACTGCTCTTATAGGTACGTTGAAAGATTCCAATTGCTTGAGAACTTCTGCATCTAAAAACCCCTGAAAGACGTAAAACCAGACGTGGTTGAAAATGTCATCATCAAAAACGATATCACTAGCTTTCTCCGTCAACTTGTAACCAACATCAATCGCTAAACTTGACTTTGCTTCTATTTTAACTTTGCTTTTCTTTTCTCCTATGTTAGCATTGGTGATGGCTGTAACTTTATTCGTATTCTTGTTGGTATTTTTTTTGGAATCTTGAGCGAGTGAAGCTAGTTCTTCCTCTAGGCTGTTTCGCTTTTCCATTTTACTTATTTCCTTCAAGAAGTGATGACTCATGACTTCCATGAGTTTTAGTTTGACTAGTTGGGAGAGCCATGTGGAAGAATTTAGATTTTGCGAAGATTTCCTTTTGATACCTTGATGAATTTCTTGAGCGACTGCTTGAAAGGCTGGTGGAAAAACATCCAGATTGAAGTCGTCTAACAATTTCAAGACTTCTTCGTAAGTTATGAAAGTGACGCAGGATATTTCTTCATATTCCTTGACGCTTTTAATCAGGTTGGTGAGGTATTCAGTTGAGGTTTGGTTATTTTCTGTGATGAAGATGATATCGAACACTTTCTTGGGGCAGAATATCTTTAGGTTCAGTTCGGAGAAGATTTTATCTAACTCGTCGTTATTGTCATCTACTTTCTCCTTTCTTTTTTTCTTATTCTTGACTTGTGAGAGTCTCGTACTCATTTCTGTATGTTGTTTTGGTGTTTTACAAGATATTAGAGAGAGTCGTGACAGGTATGAAACTGACACTTGATGACTTGTTGTGTTCCAAAGATAATACCACTACCACAAGTCCTTCAAATGTTACCGATATTTTCTGTTTGTAATCTCATACTGTCACAACTCAGATGTTGACCCTCCTATAGGTCAAGACAGTTTCCATATGAGATTTTACATTATTTATTGATTAAATGGAAAAAGTCGTGGATAAATGCTTGCCACATGGGGCACATGGCAGGTTAGCAAAGAAAAAGAAAATAATGGCTTGTCAAATGAAACACAACGCAAAACAACACTTGAAAAAAAACAGAAATTACATTACAAAGTCTAGCATGGGGTTGACCAGCAGGATTGAAGCCGAGGAGACGGCGGACATTTTTTAATTGATAATTACTTATGACTTGTATTGATAATAATAATGCCTTATCGACTCGGGTACTATTTTATATTCGGAATCGATGATAGGTTTGCAATTTTCCGCAATGGGGATGGCGATTACCTTTCGATATTGCATACCTAGGTATTATCGCACGGTAAGCGGTTTTTGCAAATTCTGGGGTAACTGACGTCTATGATCTCCGCTGACCTGATCGAAACTACTCTGTACTGGATGTTTCAATTTGAAGAAGTTAATTTAAAATTAAAGATCTTGAAAAGAACGCGAGTTTGAGTGATGTTATTCCATCGGCATTTGTTCAACTTGGCACTATTGTTATTTTGATTAAATTTAATAGCCGTGGTGGATTTTTTCTGTAGAATTACGAGGTACGTGGTTTGTTTCTCCCTTGGAATCGAGATGTAATCTTTCAGAGTGATTACGAAGTCTTGAACGACAAACGTTATTTGTCTTCAGTCAAACTCGTTTATTTGACAGGAATTTGGAAAAACTATTGCAAAATTTTGATTTGATTTCATATTGAATTTATGACATATAAGGTAAGTAACTCGATGGTATCTCTTGCGAATCTTCAACCAATTTGATTTTGAATAGTCCAAATGATAGAACTTTATACCATGAAGAACAATATGATCGTTGTGGGATGGTATGAGAAATGTCTTCCTGTATAGAAACCCGAAAAATAGTTTTTTATCTGAAAAGTCAGATAATTTAAAATTGGTTCACTCTTTGTGAGAGAACTCTTGATTGGATTTGAACTTTCAAAATTGATTCGTCATTGTATTAAAGGCATATAATACAGTGAACTCTGTAGGAAGAAATGAAATCTAGAAAAATGATTTTATTAAAATATCGTTGGTACAAAAAATATCTTACATATTTTCATAATACTAAAGCTAAGCAAGCTGCTTAAACAAGTTAAAATAATATACAAGAAAAAAGTAACAGAATCAACAACAAACTACCTGTTCCATTCGAGTAACTTATCTAATATTACGCTGGAATCTTCAGAACCGTACATTTCAATTTTTTTATCGAATTCCACGAGATTTTCGGGTGTGTTCAATACTGTATCCAGGAATGCCAGAAACATGTAAGTTTCCGTAAACATCCGCAAAAATCTTCGAATCCCTTTGGTTTTGGCTTGTTTTATAAAATCCTCCTTCTGAAAAAAAAAACAACAACATTTTCAACAAGTTTTAAATTTAATACATGTTTCTGAATTGATTTGAGGTGGATATGATTCCCTGGATATAAAAAACATTCAAAGTTAGGATAATGAAAAAAGTGGGACACTTGGAAGGAATAAGCATTCTTCATTGATATCCAAATATCTCGTGATCTAGTGAGAATTTTGAAAAACTAATTGCAGTTTCTCCCCCTAAAACCCCACCAGCGAACCCAGCTGAACAAGAACAAGTAATATGAAGAGAAAAAATTGTTTGACAAATTTTCTTTAAATATACAGGGTGGGCCACCAGTAACGCCTCGGTCTCTAGAAGGCTAACCACTTATCTTCTTGGAATTCTTCCTCTCTAGGAAGTTGCATGTCAACATAGGCTACCATTTGAAATTATTTTGAAACATACAGGATGTCCCCAAAAATCACAAAACACTGAAGTTGAACTTTTTTCAATCGAACACCCTATATATTATTTCATTCTCCCTGGTGAGCTGATTTCAACATTTGGGGTCTAGCAGTTATAATTACTGAGATATAGGGTGTGAGAAATCGAGATTCTCCAAGTTCAAGAATTTTTTGTGTCGAAACTATTCATAATTGGTCAAAACGGTTCACATGTCCCTATCTCAACTTTTGATCAACTATCTACTGACATTCAATTGAAACAAATACAGGGTGGTGCAGAATTCAGAATCTTGATCACCCGGTATATGTCCCAATTAAATATCAGTAGATAGTTAATCAAAAGTTGAGATAGGGACATGTAAGCCGTTTTGACCAATTATGAATAGTTTCGACACAAAAAATTCTTGAACTTGGAAAATCTCGATTTTTCACACCCTATATTTCAGTAATTATAACTGCTAGACCCCAAGTATGATGGGTCGTTGAAATCAGCTCACCAGGGAGAATCTCAAAATGAAATAATATATAGGGTGTTCGATAGAAAAAAGTTCAACTTCAGTGTTTTGTGATTTTTGGGGACATCCTGTATGTTTCGAAATAATTTTAAATGGTAGCCTATGTTGACATGCAACTTCCTAGAGAGGAAGAATTCCAAGAAGATAAGTGGTTAGCCTTCTAGAGACCGAGGCGTTACTGGTGACCAACTCTGTATATTTTTTTGTGTCATAAAAGTGTTTCACCATGTAATAATCATAATCACTTGTGATGTTATGAGAAAGTTGATTTGTTGATATTCAAATATCTAGTGAATTTACAGAAGTGTTAACTTTTGATATACAGGGTGTATCTGAATAACACCGAAAGAATCTAAGGGGTGATTCCTCGTGATATTCTAGCAAATAAAGTTCATATGAACATGTATCCTAACTATCTCCGTTTTTGAGATACTGGATGTTGAAATTTGAAGTATCAATTGTTTTTTTATAAACCCCCCTGTATAAGCTTTCATGGTGCCAAAATTCAGTATGATTGGAGACTGACGAAGACCCAAAATTTCAAAAAGATTCTAATTGGGGTTATTTAGTAATCTCAATGGAAGTTTTGAAAACACCTACATCAAAATTTTGAGTCAAATCGAATTTTTATTGTTTCCTCAAAAACTTAGCTTGATACTAAAATCATACACAGGATAAAAAAGTTGTTATTTCAATAGTTCAATCTGATAGAAATATGAAATTTACCCACAATACGAGTTTTCATGGAAATATCAATACCCTGTATCTCGAAATCAAAGCAAGTTAGGACACATGTCATATGAAGTTTATTTCCTTGTATATCACAAGGAATCGCGCCTTGAATTATTTTGGTGTTATAACAATTGTATTTTTCAATGAAAATAATTTGAATTTCAAGTTTTGAACTGTAAGAAACAATGATTTTAGTTAATTTAAATCCAAATATTTCGTGAACTGGTGAAGATTTTGATGAAATAATAGCGAAAACCTTTCCTAACCTCACCCCAAACCACGATCTAACAAGGTAAATTGAGAAAATTCGACACAAATCCCAAAATTTGAAATTGTTTTTGGGTTATGTTGAGGTAGCTATTGCATTCATAACGGTTATAAGGTAAAAAGAACTCGGAAAAATGGTAATCCATTGAAGTGGATGTGATCGACATTTTTTGTTGTTGGTTGTAATAATCTGAATCAAATAATTGCATGTCAATAGTGGGGGAGATATCGAGCAAAAATAAACATAAAACACCCTAGAATCTATTCCCAGGCAACCCCTTAACAGATAAATTGAAGAGTCTCGTCATTTATACCAAAACAAATATTTACTAAGAAGCTGAAAGAAAAAACGAGATTTCTCATACCTGGAAAACTCCATCGAGAAAAAACTTCTTGTAATCCTTGAAGCACATGATGAAAACTTGCAGATAGGCGTCGCTGAGATATACAGAGTGTACGTAATCCATGGAGGCTGCAGCTTTGTTAGCCAGCGCTATGCTTCTTCTCCACACCTTCTGCATGCTGCCGCTGAAAATCTTCATTTCATCCCCTTCTTCCATGCATACCTTTCCTGAATCCAAATCCACCACGATACCCTGAAAAAAGAAGATTTTTGGTTTCAATACAACAAATCTCTGAAGGTGTTTACAGCAGATTCGAAAATTTTGTCGAGCTCATGAATATTTTGGGAATAATCCCCAGTTAAAGACCCAGATAACAATTTCGAAGAGAGTTGGATCATAATTACAATACTCGTCCGCCATATTGGGTCCGCCATCTTGAATTACCAAATTCCGCCCGAATTCTGACAAAAGAATCATTATCTCCGGACTCGAAAACCCACAGATACCAATTTTGAATAGAATCGGACCATTATTACAAAACTCTTCCGATATATAAGATCCGCCATCTTGAATTTCCTAATGGTACCGGGATAAAAAGTATCCTTTAACTTTCTCCTGGTTTTAAGCTAAACGAACAAACAAACAAACAAATCTTTCCACTTCATAATATTAGTATAGATTTACTCGAAATTTCCACCCATTTCGCAGATATTTGCATTTTATTAACGTCAATGAAAGTCAGCTTGGAACAAAGAACAATCAACCATCGCAAAAATTCAAATTTATAACTTACGTTCTCGATTTGATGGTAATCAATGACTTCTTTGGACAACACCCCACATATCACAGGGGTGGGACTCTCGACGATGTCCCACAAAGCTTCTGGTAAAATTGGGATGAATGTGTGATGCCACGTGAAAGGGTAGAGTATGCTTTGCAGGGAGTCCACACACGAAGAAAGTTTACTAAAAACAAAATGCTTCATTATAAGTGCTTTCAAACTTGCAAAAATTCTCTTAAAGTTTCATATAATATAATAAACAATAATCTGAAATCCAATTTTGTTTTGGTAAGAAACTCAGAAATTCATGGTCGTCACACAAGACAATTAAACTTATTTCATCTTGATTCTGCTACTTCTATAATTGGCCAAAAAAAATTACTCACGCTGCTCTAGCTGAATTTAATGAATTACCACATAATATAAAAAATTGCAGTCATATTCCAAAATTTTAAATTGAATTAAAAAACACATGATTTCATTACGAAATGGATAAAATTGATACTTTGCCATCTACTGATTAGTCCCTGTGGCTATTTTTATGACTTGATCGATTTAGTATTTTTAGATTTTTTAGATTCTCATTGTTGTTGTTGTCACCTTATATTATTTTATTATTGTTGTTTGTAATCAACTTCCTCATACCAGAATTTTATTTCTGACTGGAAGCTAGTTTTTCAATAAACAATAAACTATTATTATTATTATATTGGTATCAGAGAATTCGAAGAATTCGTAAAAATGTCATTATATCTACCATATTTCCCAATTTAATATTCTTCAAACAATCGAAATATGGTTGAAATATGGATTCTGTTTCAAATGTACAGGAACATTTGACAAAACGTAGGTTTTGGTGCTGAACCCATATGTGAGACCTGTATTTTGAAATGAATTGTATCTGTGCTTTGTACAATAGCTTCTCGCACGGAAAAAAATCCGAGTTTTTGGCAGCTTTCGTAATGGATCTGGTATTGTTTTCACATGAAAGAGAATGATTATTGGGTCTCACAGGGGATTTTTTTCCTCATCGAATCAACTGATATATTTCTAGTATTTCAGAAGATATACAGGGAGCAAGAAAAAGTGCAAAAATTTCAAATGGAACGCCCTATATATATTTTCGAAGGGCTTTCCGAGAATACCCCAATCAATACACTTATCTTCAGTATTTCTCAGAACGGGGTAGGAAATATCAGTTGTGATCAATAAATTTGTTATTTTGTTCTTGTTGATTTCCGGAAATTGGATCAATATTATAATTCTGACTTTGAGCGATTACGTTACTGTCGATGAGTATTGAATATCATAACGATATATTAATCACCTAGATTCATTATCACAGCATACTCTCAAAAATCATTTGAGGATCGATAAGCACTTTTTTTTTTAGGTCAGACTGCCCATATTAGGAGAAATACTGAAGATAATGTATTGAGTGGGGTATTTTCGGAAAGCTCGAATTCAACTAGGTTATTGGTTTCCAGGCTTTGATTTTAGCAAGGTCTTCATTGACAGCGTTGACCTGGCTTCGTCGTTAGTTATTTGTTCCCTGGGAAGAGATGGGAATTCTGGAAAAGAACTCAGTATGGGGAGGGCTTAGGGCTTCGCGAGACCAAGAGTCTAGTCTAGGTCTTGCCATAGTTTTGATACAAGATCAAGACCAAGACTTAATGAATCTTTCCAAGACGAAGACCGAAACTTGACTTTCAAGACCAAGGTCAAGACTCTTTTCCAACAGTAAAGAGATATAATGAACTTCAATCTACTCGGAAAATGTAAAGACAATCATTCAGTTATCACATGGTAGGTTTTTAATTTTTGTTCACTCAATACTCGGAATACATTCTTCAAATTCAGTATTGAAGTTCCAAAGTTTACAATAAATAGGTGTATGTTGTAAAGTCACAGTGGTCTATATACCTCTTCCTATTGAACAAAGAAACGAATTTGATACAAAAGTTATTTGGTTTGAATTTGAAATTTCTTGAAATATTTTGATAATGCGTTGTCCCTTTGAACCTTTTTTTTTGGCCTGTCGGGCATCGGTCTGTTTGCAGTTTGGGTTTCATTCAATGTTTATTCAAGGTTTCTCGAAAATTATATTCGTATGGTAAAAGAAGACATTCATTTCGCTTTCTTTATACGCCCAAATTGACATTTTCAAACACCGAGAAATACGAAATACCTATTATATGCATGTAAACTGTTGAATATTTGAATTGAATAATTCAAATTTCTAGCCGCATTTTTATCCAAGACCAAGAGTATCAAGACTGATCAGTCTTGGTCTTGATCTTGGTCTTGCGAAGCCCTAGAAGGGCTGTCATCTGCGAAGCTGAAGGTGGGGCAAGTGGAAACTCCTAACAGATCATTTATATGGAGTAGGAACAATGTTATCTATGGCTATGGTATCCGTCCACCACAACATGAAGTGAACTGCCTGTAAAAAAACTCGATAAAAGATGGCATAGCTGATGTGGTAAACCATATGGTGTTGGTTTGTGGAGATGTGTTTGGTGTCAAACACAGTCGAGTTTTTTCGGTATATCCTCTTCGCCACAGCCAGATTGATTCTCCATGTTTTCCTGATGAAGCTTGCCAATATGGGTGATGTAGGTTAATCTCCAGTTGATCTTTAGTGGCGATAGTCATATTGTCTATTATTATCAGCTACTGAGCTTTCCAGATATTTGGTAATTACAATGTTGAATGTTGATGGCTTCCCCCATCACTTTCGAGATAACTGATAATAGAGCAATAGGCATAGAGTTGTTGGGCAGGTTTTTGTTTCATTATTTGGGGAATCGTTGAACTCTAGCTATTTTCCAGTAAGATGGAGAAAACACCCGACCATTCTTCAAACGAAAAAGTAAAAGCTTGCAGAGAATCAGTGCGAATTCATATCATGTAATACATTTGATATCTTTAATAGCGTTTTCCACTCGTCGCACTTGCTCGAACTTTTTCGGCACTGGGTACGTTTTGCGTGGCCCACTGAGAATTTCAAGAGCGAACTTTTGTCGAGAAATGATTTCCACTGGCTTTCAAACTTGCTCGATGCCTGCTCAGAGTTCGAGTTTTCAGAACTGTGCTTGTACGACAGAGCGATACACATAACCTCAAATATTCGAGTCACGAGTGGGAAAATGTTTGGAATTCAAATAATTATGAATGTCTCATTGTAGTTCATTACTATTATCACAATAACTCCCGGAATTGAAGATACTTCGGATACAAGCGATGATGGAGAAATGATGATTGAGATACAGAAGTACTTCGTTATGAAACAGCGCTTACGGATGATTCAAAATTACCTAAAAGTTGAAGAAAGCTATTCAGATGTGCAGGTATTGAACATATTCGATTGTTGATTCAGTAATTATGACAAATACTAACTTCGTGAACGACACTTCGATGCTACATCACTATTGTCGAATGATTCAATTGAACATAATTGACATTCATATGTTTCTGGCTGTGTTCACAGGGAAACCACAATAATAGGTATTATTTTGACATTTCTGACATGAAGAAGATGGCGAGTGGAAAACGCTATAACACAATCTATTTTTGGAATGCGATAGGAAGTGAAAAATATTCTTACCTTATGATGCTACTGATGAGGATTACTTTCCTCTCTAGTAACATCGAAGAGAATATCATCAATAACACGTCAGCAGGCAGCTGGTGCAGCCTTTTGAGATCGGAGTCTTCATATCGAGTATCAGGATGCAGAGTTAGAACCAGCTCGATGCTCTCTTCGTATTCCACTATGTAACTGGGGATGGCACAAGAGCTCTTCAAGTCACTCTCGTTGATGAAGATTTGTTCCGAGTTTTTCGATTTTTGCTTATCGAGGCTTATGTATTCGCCGGTTCGGTTCACGTGGACATAACTTACTAGTTCTACTGATTCTTCAATGTTTTCTTTGTTTTCAGTCTTGACAGTTTTTGGTTCGATATTTGTCAGGTTGATTTTAATGGACTCGCCTGGTTTGGGGAACTTTTTCAGGTAAAACTCCCTGATGAGTTCGTCCCGAAATTTGTTCGGTATGCCATGTCTAGATTCCAATTCCACTAAAATCTTTTTGTAGAACCTACGAGAAAACGTTGTATTATTTTCGAAATGAGTTTGTTATATTCAAATGTTCAATGTTGAGATAAGGGCTCTTTGATATTTGATAGGATCCTCAGTTCTATCGAAAACTTAATTTGAAATTCCTATTGCATGGGACAAACATAAATTTCATTCAATATACATCCGACATGATTCAATGTTACTCTCAGAACTATCTGAAATGGTTTTCAAATGCCGGAAAACTGAACGAGCTAGCTAACAGAAGTACAGTCACCTCTTCATGGGTTCTGGAACATTCCAGAGTAGAAGGAAATCAACTACCGAACCAACTCACTAGAAAAGGAGCTAAAACACACTTCGTGGAGCCAAAACGGATCAGCAATAGTACTGTTCCAGAAAAAATCAGGAAAAAAACATTATACATTTGAAAAACCTTTCAAGGTCTCAGAGAGGCTAAGATACTATTGGGTAAATATAACTACAAAAGATCAAATGTCAGCCTAAGCAAAAACAAACTTCGTATACGAACGGGAGTTCTAACAGGGCACTGCCGGTTGAAAAAACATCTTAGGCGGCTCTGCTTGAAAGACAAAGACAAATGCATGTTCTTTGGCGAAGAGGAGGAACCCAAAGACCAGAAACCTAGAAGCCTACATAGAAGAGGAGGAGAAGCAACCCTACCTGGAACCACCTCATAACCTAGAATTTTCTGAGGGATATATATTACCAGAGAGATTGCTATAGCCACGGAATGTCACGGGTAAACTGAATGACAGCAAAGAACTTTTGTACTCGTCTTGATGTGATATTTTCGGATGTCTGTCTGAGGAATCAGCTTACGAAATATGTCGGTGCAGTTGAAGTCCATCCTGTATAGGATATTTGAAGAGAATATTTCATTTCATTATCGATAATTTCCTGCTAATAACAGGCTGGTCTTCATATGACTACGTGATTGTTCATTTCAGATAACATAATTGTATGATTGTTGTTTACGGTACTCTGATAGTGAATTGTGAATTCTAAGAAATCAATGAAGCTATAGCAAACCTTCCAATGCTGTAGGAGAGAATTCACTCGATATTATAAACTTAACAAATACCACTGTGCCATTGAGTTAATTGGAAAGAGATTGAAAATAAGCTCGTGAGTTGTGCTGGACTTCCTTGAACAGCTTCTAGACCGTTGTTTGAATTGGTCAGCTCTAAACAAATCAAGCTTTTTCTGCTGTGTGGAGGTTATGGCAAATTCGAATTCGTAAGTAGAATCAAGAGATCATTGGAGTTTTTCCTACCTAGGGGCGCGGTATATGCTCAGAATGCAGTAGGCCAATGGTAAACATCTAGTTGAACCTTCAGGAAGAACTCTTCTACAGTATCCGTACATCCTTTCACCTTTGTCGTTTGTTATCAGCAGGGAATAGTTCTGTGACGTATTGGTTGTATCCAGAGGAACACTGTCGCTTTCTGGAAAACACAAGTTCTCCAGTTTTTCCGGAATATCAACCTAGAACATAATAAGAAACATCATAGGAGAACAAAGTATATTAATTGACACATAAAACATTTTGGGAAACATAATTCAGTTTTTGATTCGAAATGTGTATTTTTGTCACTGCTATAAATTATAATAAAGATGAGTCGAAGAACAGACCCTTGTGGAACCCCAAGTCAACTTGCAACCTGTGGTGTAGGAGGAAAATTATATATATTTTCTAAATGAAGATCAGAATCACGATACCAATGAGGCCTTATATTCTACTCGGGTACGTCGATATAAAATCAAAATTGAACCTCCAGGAGCGTACCGAAACTATTTTATATTGCTAAGATATAAATTGATAGTGAGTGGAAGAATTTGGCAGATGATTTGAATTGAAATCATGACTTCAGGGACGTACCCATTGGTTTTCTGAGGGGGTGAAAATATGAAATTGTCTGTAGGTAATTGCTATTTTGAGAATACTTACACATGAAGGGTATTTGAATTTGATCTGAGCAGCATCACCGACTTTCTCAATAATCATACAGCAATAAAACAACGATTCCCTGTTGCTTCTTGGTTTGCAATACTTGGGCATGGTCTGCCTGTAGGTCTCGAACTTCCTGATAATTTCCGACACCTTGGTCTCATTTTCATTGTTCTCCGAGTCGGAATCTCGCATGGCACTGTCATAATTGAAGCTGGTATCCAAGGTTTGCTTGAGGGTGACCTTGAGATTTTCCACCCTGTTTGCGCTGTCGATATGGCCAGTTTCGTAGCACTCTATGATGCTACGGATCTTGGAGCTTTCCTCCATTGGGGAGGGGGTTGAATCCAAGTCCGATGTGAAAGAAGATAAAGAAGAAGATTCACCAGATGCCTGGAAATGTACAAACAACGTCCACCATACAGAGTCTACCAACGAAAACCTGTAGATTTTGAATTTCTTCAAAATGCTTCAAATGATAATCTTCTAGAAATTATTCACCACACTCAATTTCAAGTTGATATCTTCAAAAGTGAGCGAGATATTTCAATTACTATCACCCATTCAGTTTGAACCTTGAAACCTGAATCACCCTGTATATTGAATCAAGAACTTGTAAAGAGTGAATTTGGTTATAATGTTGATAATTTCTAGTTTACGTACAATCTCGGTATTTTGAACTTCGATTGATCACCTGGGTCATAATCAATTCTGCATTTCGAAGAAGCTGATTTTCATGAACCTCAGGTTTTTCGGAAGTCCTAATATTTCTTTCTCTGATAATGCACACGATTAAAGTAAGTTTCAGATCCCTGGCAAAAAATGATTTATTTTTCACTGCCGAGTAAAAAATTACATTATCCAGGTTAGGTTGGCCGTTGACCTCTGTATGTTGACAATCAATTTAGAAATCAGTAGAAAGAAGCATGCAATATATAATTCGTTAATTATACGGTTATTTGAAATTGTGATTCATCAAAATTGATTATCTATCACACAGTATAGAGAATCAGGAATTGATTTATGAAAGTGAATTCTTCATTTCCGTTGACTTTTGTTTAATGGACGAACATCATTTCAGACCATGCTGTGCGTTTTTATTGAAATGAAAGGATTGAATTCTTCATGAAATCATATAAGGCTTATAAGGATTACTTTTCACAGAGAAACTGACCTCATGATTTCGAAACCCCCAAATCCGAATTTTCACATGATTCCAATAACGGGTTTGCAAACGTAAAAATAGTATACAGGGTAGGGTGTATCTGAATAACACGGAAAACATTCAAGAGGTGTTTCCTTGTGATATCCTAGCAAATAGATTTCATGTAAGCATGTATCCTACCTTACTCCGTTTTTGAGATAAAGGATGTTGAAGATGGCAGTATTGATTGTTTTCATTTATAACCTCCTGTATAAGCGTTCATGGTGCTGAAATTCAGTATGGTTGGAGACTGACAAAGCCCCAACATTTCAAAATGATTCTAATTGGGGTTATTGAGTAATCTACAATACAATTTGGAGTCAAATCGATTTTTTATTGATTCCTCAAAAAATAAGCTTGATACAAAAATCACACAAAGGAAAAAAAAGTTGTTATTCCAATAATTCAATCTAACAAAACTATGAAACTCAGTTAAACCGGTGGCGTACAAGGACATTCACCATAAATATCGATAAATTTACCCACTGTGACGCCACTGGAAATATGATTTCGAATTTAATTGCACTAGAAGAAGCTCCGTATCACTATTAACGAAACCACAATGTTTCATTGAAATTGATGGAAAGACAATTGAGTAATAAATAAAAAAACGATTTTTTATGGAAATATCAATACCCTGTATTTCGAAGACGAAGCGAGTTAGGATACATGTTTATGTGAACTTTATATCCTAAAATATCACATGGAATTCACCACTTGAATTTTTTCGGTGTTATTTAGATACACCCTGTATATAGTATTTTCTTTCAAATCATGATTTTATACCTACCGAAGTCATTAAATGTTCTAAAATTTGCAGTTAATTTGAATTCGCTATTTTTTCAGTTTGAAAATGAAAAAATTAAGTCAATCCTGCTGATTCGGAATGAGGTGATTTTTTGCATATGGAGGTTCCAGAGCATAAGGAACAATAATTTCATAAAAATTGACCCCTTTATATTTCAATAAAGAAGGACGGCACTGTTCAAAAGGATATTCGTTCCTGAAAAACTGATCATAATATTGATGGTTATTCATACCGTTTCAAATTTGGTACGAATCGTACGACTACTGGCTGATATAGAGAGGGGCCGTTCAAAGTGAGACACGCTGTATAAAATTTAATCATTCAATCAAAAACTGCAACAAGAAACATAATCACTTATTATTCCAGAACATCTTAGGCAATTCATTGATCGATACTTGCTTCAAAAAAATTAGATAATGTTCTAATGTTGAAGTCCATAGCTCAAAGTAGAGTAAAGTAGTAAGTCCAAACACGAAATCCTCTCCACAACATGCAATTCCCTGAAAGGAATCAGCTGAACATGTTTCGAACATCAATAGTGCCATCATCAGCCGAAATGTAAAAAAATGTCCTACAAAAGATGAATACCTAGCATATTGTATCTTTTGTAGGACAATTTTCCACCTTTCTGCTGATGATGAACCCTATTAATGTCCGAAACATGTTCCCCTAATTCCTTATAGGAAATTAAACGCTGTGGAGATGATTTTGTGCTTGTATCCTACTACTTATAGCATAATGTGACTATGAATAAAATTGGAATAAAAATTAAACAGTAGGTACTGAATGTTACGAATATTGGAAACACTATTTAAGCGAGAAGCAATTCGACTTCTACAGAAATCTTATTTTCGATCATTCAGTTTTATAATATATTCACAGACATTCATCCCTAGGTCTTTTCCATAATCAATTCATGGAATTCATGGAAAATGTTTAGAAGCAAATTTTGTAATAATGATATCAATTTGTATAGTACTTTACGTAATTTACCACAAAATATTCAAATTCAAGTAGGCGGTGTTCTATGATTCGAATATCTGCATTTCTATACGTCTGCCCTATATATTTTCGTTTCTGGAGATCGAACCGAATTCATTCAATCAAAAGAGGAAATATTTTCCCCAAGGTAGAAAATAACGAATTAAGACTACTGAAATGAGATATCAATATTATTACCTATATATAGCCAGACTTCGTTGAATAGGAGATAAAATTGAGTATAGGTTCACACCTATTGCTATGTCGTTCACACAAAACACTAACTGTTTGAAGCAAATTGGAAGCAATTATATCTGGAGAAAGCTTTGTACTATATACTTCCCAATAACAATTGCATATAGTGGCTATTGTTATAAAAATTATAACCTAGCCAATAATGACTTTGAAAAGAGAAGCACTGCAAAATTTCATCACATTCACGGGAAAACATCTGCCACACTGAAAATGATTAAAATAAATGTGTTCAGAGGATTGAAATTGAAAATAACTTCAATCTTTATCTAAACAAAACACATAAATAGTCATCGCTTCTGAACATGAGCATGAATAAAGAATGTTCAATAGTATTTTTGACAATTTGTCCTAACTGCTTCATCACTAGCTGTCACCAAAATATTGATTCATAAAATAATTCAAAGAATGATAAATCCATATGGTGGAATTCGGAATTTTTGAAGGGAAATACAGGGTGTCCCGGAATCACATAGAAAGATTTCAGCCATTTCTGGGTTCATGTTTCTATGAACTTTTTTCACAATTTTTGTTCCTAGAATCTGTGTTTGATATCTTTCTATGTAATTTTGGGACACCCTGTATGAACAATTTCTTGATTTCAGGGGCAAAAAAATTGTCAGAGGTCAAGGTCAAATGCCTTCAGATTGAAAATGACATTTCTTCCAGAGTGATCAAGTTTCTATTTCAGTGTATAGTAAGTAAAGTTGGGGATTATGGAATATATCCAGTAATATGTAATATTATATTTTTGACAAAACTACAAGCACCATCAATTTCAATTTGATATGTTATCATTCCATCGAGTTCATAGTTCTACCACGAGTGTGTTTATTCTATATGTATATATCTATCGTTCCTGACAGTTCTAATAGTTTATGAAATTCCGGTGCTCACGAAATTTTAAGGTAAGTTTCTTGAATTTATATTCCAAACACATTTGGAAGTGATTTTATTATATTATTGTTAAGTTGAGTATATGAATGATGTATTATAGGTCCAATGTAGAGATAGCGCTCATTCTATAGATAATTTGTATTTTTTTAAATATTCAACCTGCGAAGCAATATAGGCGGGAATTATGGAATAGTATTCCATGAAAATTAACAAAATGAAAAACAATCCAAAATATCATTTGTTTTGTTTATATTCATCCAAGTTCGTCATTATAATTCGTTCTAATAAATCTATCGGCCACATCGTCACCATTTCGAATTTATATTCTTCCATCCGATACTTTCCGAAATAACTCAAAAAATACAAAGGGTTTTCCATAATCTCCGACTCTACCCTACCAGTGGGAATTTAAGAAACTCAGACATATTTGAATAGTAGAAAATGTGCCACAGTCAAAATGTCAGTTGGCATTCAAGGTCCAAATGAAATTAAATTTCTTCCAGAGTAACAAGAACTCCACCACATAATTTTATAAAAAAATATTCATTTTCATGTTCTCACTTTGTTGTTTGTTGTAACTTGGAATTGATATAAAATGATCTGAACATAATAACAATGAGACGAGCATGTGGAAAGTATTTCAAAAGCTATCTGTAGGTTAACCGAGGATGTGGTGTGGATATTCTCCAGAGTACAGATCCTTTGGGATTTCCTCGTATATTTTCATTAAATGAGAATATTTCAATGAGGTTGCTGATTATGTCAATAACATGGACATGGAAAACGATTATTGTTGTCATGCCAATCAGACCTCAAATAAGTTTGTAATTGTCGAAGTGACAGACACAGCGTTACTGTCATTTTCGATTCAGTGGAATTGCCACAATGTGATCAGAAACTTCCAGATATAGGGATGCGATACATAAACGTACGAAGCCCTGGAAGGGACACATAAAATTAAAAAAATTAAACTCTTCCAAATTCTGAGTTATAACTCGGAATTTTAAAATTCCGACATATATCGGAATTTTACATCCAATATTCCGAGTTATAACTCAGAATTTTAAAATTCCGAGTTATAACTCGGAATTTCACATCCAATATTCCGAGCTATTACTCAGAATTTTGAAATTCCGAGATATGAGTCGGAATATTGATGTAAAATTCCGAGTTATAAGTCGGAATTTCACATTCAAAATTCCGAGTTATAACTCTGAATTTTGAAATTCCGAGCAATAAGTCGGAACTTCA